CAAACCTTATGTTTGAAAGCATTGATTCTTCAATAACACAACTTTCAACATTTTAAAGATGGCATCGGCGCGTAAATCGGATAAACTGCAGCCCTAATTATAATGTACCGTATTTTGGCACATTTAAATCACACAATTCCAGGGGTTACGATCGCGCAAGGCATGATGGGAAACAACATGGCGCAGCAAGATCGTACTCACGGGGCACGAGGTTGACCAAGTCTGGGTTGCTGTCTTTGTGTATATGGAAATCAATGGTCAGCCTCGACTCCAGGGGCGCGTGCGCGTTCCTTCGTTCCTTACACTAACCCCTGGCCGTGATGATGACGTAAGTGACGCTGACTGGCTATTCAGAGCGTACTGCGTGGGCATTTCGTAGATTGCACGCCGGGCGCGCAAGTAATGCGCTTGCGTGCTTTGCACGTCTCGTCACGTAGGAATATTTGTTTGAAAGCATTGATTTTTCAAAAACACAACTTTCAACATTTTAACCCTAAAGGGGCCGGGTTATTTTGAGGGCGCGCGTTACGTATTGTAAGGACGTATGCGATGCGCTGTGAGTAGATTTACTTTATAGGCACAGACCGAGCGCAACCCAGACTTGGCCTAGTCTAGGATCATTCTGTTCCATGATGCAATATTTGGTGTGCAAAATGCTGCTGGTGTGCGCGTTCAGCGTTGCGCGTAGAGCGTATTGTTCCAAAGAGCCACTGCATTTTCGTGAAGGGGTGTATGGTTTGGAAGAAATAAATTAATTTTCCCCCAATTTCGTATTGAAAATTTGAAATAAGGTTCAAAAATGGAATGACAATGATCTAAATGTCAGTTATATATAACAAATATTTAGTGGCTTCAAATTGTGAAATGGGAGGGATATTATCGCTCTGTAAAATCTGGACATTTCCAGTTCACTTGGCTTCTCCTCATGAAATGGAGAAGTCCAGATTTCACCTTGCGATAATGTTTCTCCCATTCTACTCTCAGCCACTCAATATTTGTATAATATACCCCCTCCCTTTAAGGTACGCATAAGAAAATGCCTTTCACAAAACAGCTGAAATGTAAATACTCATTCTGTTTTGAAATTATGGTGACCGTGGTGGTAAATATTATAAGGAGGCTTTCATTTCGTTTCATTTCATTTCACGAATCAGATGTGCTTTTTGTATAGCTTTGGACACGTTTAGTATTAAAAAGGATCAGTGCATTGTGTGAAATACCAAGCGATATTTAGAGCGTCCCAGGCGCGGTTCTAGAACCAATATTTTTTTTTTGGGGGGGGGGGGCTAGCACGGTGGATCCAGAATTTTTTTCAGGGAGGCGTGCTGAAATGTTGACAAGTTATTTTTTCCAGACACTTAGGCCTCCGAAAATCAATAGGTGGGGTGGGGTGGTGGGTGGGGGGTGGGGTGGGGGGGGGGGGCTCGTGCCATATTTTCAATGGGCAGCGCCAATAAAATCCTAAAATCATTCACACTATAGCAAGGGCGGATCCAGAACACAATTTTTTTTGGGGGGGGGCCAAAAAGAAATTTGGTCCTCCAAGAAAGTGGGTCCAAAAAATTACGGCGTGTGGTTCGGGGCCCGCTTAATAATTTTTGGATTCTAGATGCTCTGTGGTACGATCTGAGGCAATTTCTGACCACTTTAACCCATTGTTTTTGAGGAAAAGATGGTGGTGTACTCATTGCCTGCCTTTATTGCGATGTCACATAAAAAAAAATGGTTTCGTTTTTTTTGGGGGGAGGGGGGCATGGCCCCCTTTGGTCCCCCCCCCCCTCCTGGATCCGCCCTTGCAATATGTTAACTAATGTACCCTTGTCACGGCTATTTCTTCTTTAGGGGGAGACCGTTCGCATGTACATCACAATCCTTTTTTTTTGCTAATGCATTTCTTTTTTTTTACGGAATTTGTTTGGGGCTAGACAAAATTTGGGGGGGGGGCTACAGCCCCCCCCCCCAGCCCCCCCGTAGAACCGCGCCTGGAGCGTCCTGACCCCTTGAATATGAAAAATAGCGTCTAATAATCGGATTTTTTTTTTATTACATTTAGTTCATTGCTTTCTTCAGAAAATCACCCTCGGAAAGGCCTTTATAATGCTATATACTAACATCTTGATTTACGGAAACTGAAAAATAGCATGACGTGAATGAGAAATATCGTGCTAGAAACTGACCTCTCACTTCTAAAATCTCAAATAAACATGTGGACTAGTGGAACTCGGTGTACTCGTACAGAGATGAACATTTATGAAATAATTTTGTGGCGGTAATTGATAAAAACTGAAACTTAAACATGAGAATACAATCACTTTTGACAAATGCACTTTTTGTTCAAAATACTTGAAAACAAAAAAACGAGTTCTCATGTACAAACAAATGAACGTTGATAAGAATGGTATTCAAGTCAGCTTGGATTGGTGTCTGAACAGTCGTACAACAGGACTGTTCCATTAACCTATAACGCCACTTACCGTCTTGCCTTGCAGTTTTATGCGTACGATACGTACAGATAGTTCCGTTTGTCTGTAACAGCCAACGCCATGCAATACAAGTTCAACCAGTGTGTGTGTATGATATGAACATGGCCAATGCTGCACCTTGTTCAAAGGTCGAATTCTACTATACGGAGGCCTGTGTGGAACGATAATACCCAGCCGTGTGGTTGCGAAGGGCGATTTCTAAAGGTAAAGTAACACTGTATTTTAAATGAAAACTACATGCACACAGATATGTTGACGTTCGCGGGCGAAATCTTTGAAAACTGATTTCTACCGTTTAGAAGATCGTATCTTCATTCAACTTCCAGGGTTCATTTACATTATGATGATCCAACTGTGTATTAAAAATCGTTGTGATAGGTTCATTACTTCAGTTTCGTTGAAATTGGAAATGTAGGACTGGCTACGTGCATTTTTGAAAGTTATAATATGTGGCGTTTACAATATCTGTCAATCTTTTTAAGCCTCCCTAATAATATATAAATTAGGTTCCTATAAATTAAGATGTGAAGTAAAAAGTCTCCTTCACGAGTTATTGATTCCAATTCGTCAATACCGAGACCCACACCAAGTCACTCCGATGGCGCTAATAAATATTACAATGTAAGTATTGCCGGGCCAAAATAGGTCACCCAAAGCGCCTACGTCGCTAAATGAGTTTTGCTTAAGAAGGCGAAGCGTCTGTGGTTGTCAGGAAAAGCTAATCCGATGACGTACTTATAAGCGCTGTAACAGAGCAGCGAAATTCGTAACCCCCCCCCCAAACATGGCATTTTGAACGCTGTGTTTCTCAAAAAGTATGCTCAGTATGAATAAAATGTTAAATTATAACGGAAGAAGAAATTCTAAACTTCATGCCAGTGAAAAAAAATCGCCGCCATTGATGCCGAAACGTCAATACTGGTTACTGGTAAAGATGACCTTCAAGTCGGGAAGAAATATTTCGAAAACTTCCCCAAATAATATATTTATCACAATTTCTAGGAATCTAATCAAGCTGTTATTTCACGAGTAGTTGAACACTCAAACCATTTTGAATTTCAGTTTAATCTGTTGTTGCAAACGCTAGTGTTACACCTTGAACTATCTGCAAGGAAAATCTCGACGAGTAGTTTTTTGACTACCCAACCCACGTGCATGGTTTTCATAGCGCCGTTGGCCAATTTCGCCTGGTGTCATATGAAAATCGGACTCGTATGAAAATCGGACTCTTTTCCCCTTTAAATGGTTAAACCCTCTCACGTGACCGGTCCGTCTCCTAATTATCTATGCATGAGCATGCGCAATACCACCAATGAGTCCGTATTTCATAAAACCTAAATTCATGCTTCACCGGCAGCACAATAACAACGGGCATATTAACATATTCATTAGGGTCACCTGGCGTGACTTGGCGTGGGTCCAATTCTTGGCATTGACCAATTGGAAGTCGGCAAAAAGGGTGATACTTTTTAATTAATAACTTGCGAAGGAGGCTTTTAAACACATTTTTACTACACACCATAATGGATAGGATCCTTACTAATATTCGCGTGTCTTGAAAAGATTTAAAGATATTGCAGACGCCAGTGTTACAACTTTCAAAAATGCACGTAGCCCAGGCCTATTTTTCCAATTTCAACGAAAAGTATAATAGACACATCACAACGATTTTTAGCTCATAATTGGACCATTATAAGGGAAATAATCCTTGAAAGTTGCATGAAGATACGGTCTCTTAAACAGGAGAAATTAAGTTTCAGAGGTTTCGCCCGCCTACGTGAACGTGTCTGTGTACATGTTGTTTCATTCAAAATAAAGTGTTACGTAACCTTTAAAGAAACCGCCCTTCGCAACCACATGGCTGTAAAAGCATGCCCGTGGGTTTGGTTGGCACAAATTCCTCGTCAAAATTTTCCTTGAAGATAGTTCAAGGTGTAACACTTGCGTTTGCAACAACAGATTAAACTCAAATTCGGAGTACACTTACATGATATGTCCAACTACGCGTGAAATATCAACTTGGGGAATTCCTGCAAATCAATATAGATATATAGATTTGGGGATGTTTTCGAACGAATTGTTCCCGACTCTAAGGTCAGCTTTACCAGTATTGACTTTTTTCATCGATGACGGCGATTTATTTTTTCACTGACATGAAGTTTAGTATTACGCCTTCCGTTATAATCTAACATTTCAATCAGAGTGAGCATATTTTCTGAGAAACACAACATTAAAAGCGCCACGTTTTTCGTGTAGTTCACGAATTTCAATGCTCTGTTACAGCGTCTAATTACTTAATCGGATTAGCTTTGCTTAACAACCTGCACGCCTGCGTGTTCGCAACCACACGGCTGTACATGGTGCTTTAAAAATTCATACCGTGGTAAAGGGTACTCCATTTGTGTGGATGAATAATTTGAATGTAATGATGACAATATGACAGTTTACACTGGCAATGTACATATATATACTGTGTACTGCAGCTGCGGTAGACGGTTTGATATCCCGCAGCCGCAATCAGTCCTGCACATTGGTCTTCGGCCAATGCCGTCCTCGTCTGGGTTTGTAGGCTTGAGAGCCAGTAACGGCAAAGTCTAAGGCCCTCTGAGCGGGTGTGTCAGGGTTCATACGTAGGACATGGCCTAACATTGACCATCTTTGCTTTGTGACCTTTGATGAGAAGGGTTCTTCATTGCACAGTTCGTATAGTGCCTGGTTGCTGATAAGGCTCTTTGGCCAGCAGTGACCTGTGATGACACGGAGGTGTCTGCGGTGGCACGCATCCAGCTTGTCAAACATGACTTTGGGTGCTGTCCAGCTGTTGCAGTTGTAGAGCATGATTGATACGCAGTATGCGTTGTAGAGACGGAGTCTTGCCTTCAGCGGGATCTTGGTTCGCCGGCTCCAGAGTTTCCGTAACGTGTGGAATGTTACATTGCCTTGAATGCAGTGAGCTGTGATGTCTGAAGTGCTGCACAGTAAGGAGCCTAGGGTCTTGTTCTTGCGCCAACTCTCATTGCCGCGGACATCCTTACCGTGCAAGTCTGTCTCCGTGGCTTCTGCAAGGTATACGTGAGTAAACTCTGTCTTCGTCTCGTTCATGAACAAGTTGTCGACTTTTAGTTTCTCCGCTGCTACTGGCTGGAGATGGTCCAGGGGTTTCTTTGCTTTGTCCAGGAAGTCAACATCGTCTGCGTACTCCATTTCTAGTGGCAGACCTAGGCAGTGGAGACCGGTGGGTTGGGCCTGTTGGAGCTTTCTCAGACGGATGAGAGTGCAGCAGCAAGGTAGCAGGTGAAAAGGACTGGTGATAGGCTATCACCCTGGGGGGTCCTATTGAGGTCTCAAATAAGTCTGACAGCTCGTTTTTTACACGGACCCTGAGCTTCGTCCCTGCTAACAGTGATCTTGCTAGTCTTACTTCATCTTCGTTGCAGCCTGCTTGTAGTAGGACATCTAGGATGCGTTTCCGCTTGATAGTATCGAAAGCTCGCGACATGTCAATGCCCATCTTGTGGAAGTCTCATTTCCTTGTCATAACAACTGAGATCAGCGTACGTTGTGCCATACAATGTCTGCGCAGCTCCTGCCTCTTTTGAAACCACTTTGATATGGTCCGGTGAAGCAGTCGATTTTGTCTCTGATGCGGCGTAGAGTGATGATGGACAAAATCTTTCTTATGCTGTTCAGCAGGGCTATCGGCCGGAGGTTGGCTGGTGGGCCAGGGGGCTTCTTTGGCTTGGGAAGAGTGATTAGTGTGCCTTCTCCTAGTGTCTCTATGATCACGTGATGCTCACACGATGAGTTGATGGTTTTGGCCAGTGGGCGGGAGACAAGGTTTTTGGAGTGCTTGAAGAGCTCGCTGTTGATGCCGTCTGGACCGGTGATGGCGGTCTTGACTTCCTCCTCTGTAATGGGAGTCTGGAGTGGCGGTGGGGTGCCCTCAAATGGTTGCAGCGGTTCGTCCTGTTGGTCGGTAAACTGCTGCTGGAACCAGTCTTTAATGGCTCTTGCTTTGCCTTAGTCCGTTCCCATGAGGTTGCTTTCGGTGTCTTGGACAATGATAGGCGGGGTGGGTTTCGTTGAGTGAAGCTGCTTCACGGCACGAAACATTTTGCGACAGTCATCGGTTGAAGTGATTTGGTCTGCCAGGGCATCTGCCTCTTCCACTGCAACTTCCTTCTGTCTTTTGGATATGAGGCGCAGAATGTTATTACGCTTCTTCCGGAGGGGGGTGCGGTCAAAACCATTTACTTGTTAAACCTCGGTAGTGGCGATCAAGTCTTCTATTAATTTGGTAAGCCTCAGCAAGTGCGATCAAGTCTACTATTGATTCGGTAAGCGTCGGCAGTTGCAAGCAAGTCTTCTATTACTTTGGTAAACCTCGGTATAGTGGCGATCAAGTCTTCTATTAATTCAATAAGCCTTGGCAGTTGCGATCAAGTCCTTTATTAATTTGGTAAGCCTCGGCAGGTGCAAGCAAGCCTTCTATTAATTCGGTAAACCTCTGCAGTAGCGAGCGAGTCTTTTATTAATTTGAATCTTAAAATTAATGTGGCCTGACGTTGCGAACTTAGCAGGTTCTTCTTTAGAGGCTAAAACAGAAATGACAGAGGTACATACATTAACATGGGGGTGCATGGGGCTGAAAGAAGAAACACAAAAGGAGGATTAGGTGTGAAAGGTGTGGAAAGATACAGGGGAGGGTGGATGAGAGAACAAAGAAACAAAGGGAGATGGCAAACCACAAGGGGTCTTGTGTAAACAGGGGAGGGACCAGAAAGGGGAAGGATCAAAGGTCACAGGGAGTGGGAACGGACAAAAGAGTGTGAGAGTGAAGGGATGATGTGGGGGGAACAGTATTGAGGTGGAAAGGGATGAAAGATGGGGGAAGATGGGTAAACACAAACAAGGAAGACCAGATGGATTATCTGTAACAGAAGACAATGGAGGAAGAAAAGGATTAGTCATTTCCAAGTTGGATGTTGAGACCATGTGGTTGAATAGTTCGAAGACGATTCATCCACACTTTCTCTCTGCTGAGGCGAACTGAGTCCTTGCGATGGCCAAGAGATACAATGCCCTGCAAAATCATATCAGAAATGGAGTGGTTAGGCAGGTTAAAGTGATGACCAACAGGGGTGTCTAGTTTCTTGGTGTTGACCGTTGACCGGTGGGCATAGAAACGCTTCTTGAGCGTATTCTTAGTCTCACCTACATACTGCACTCCACAGACCCTGCAAGAAATGAGATATATGACATTAGAGGTGTTACAAGTGATGTTACCAATGGTTCTGTGGGTAGTGACAGAAGAGTGGCCAGAAAAGGAGTCAGACTCCTGGATATGAATCTGGCAGACAACACATCTGGAACTGCACTTGAAAGTACCATGCTGGGTGGGAGGGGATGCATCTAAGGAAGGGACTTCAGCTCGAACAATCAAGTCCCGTAGATTTCGAGGACGCCTGTAAGCCAATGTGGGGCCGTTGGGGATGGCGCTGGCAAAGCGATCTGAAGTATGGAGGATATGATGATTGTCATTAGTGATTTTGCGAAGGGGAGGGAGATTGGGGTGAACTGTGGTAACCAAGGGAATCATGGGTTTGGCCATGGCATCAGGGGCCTTTCCCGTGAGAGCTAGATTTCTGGGGATAGCTTTAGCTCTGGCAATGGCACGATGAACTTGGCGAGAGCTTTGACCCCTGGCCACCAAGTTGTTCCTCAGTATCTGTGTATGGCGGGAGAAATCGGAATCATTAGAACAAATTCTTCTGAGTCTGAGTGCCTGGCTAAACGCTATGCCAGTTTTGCAGTGCCTGGGATGACAGCTGGAGGAGTGGAGGTACTGGTGGGTGTCTAAGGGTTTGGAATACAGGTCAGTGGTTAGTGAGTTGCCTTGCTTGCGGACGGTGACATCCAGAAAGTGGGTTTAGTGAGCCGAGAACTCCGATGTGAATTTGATGGTTCTGTGGAAGGAATTGATGTGGTTAGTGAAGGTCAAGAGACTGAAATTTTATTAATTTGGTAAGCCTCGGCAGTTGCCTGCAAGTCTTCTATTAATAAGGTATATCCTCCGTAGACTTGAGGAAGTCTTTTGTTACTTTGGTAAGGCTCGGTAGTGGCGATCAAGTCTTCTATGAATTACGTAAGCCGCGACAGATGCGACCAAGTCTTCTTTTAATTTGTTAGGCCTCGGCAGGTGCGATCAAGTCTTCTATTAATTTGGTAAGCCTGGGCAGGTTCCAGCAAGTAATTTATTAATTTGGTAAGCCTCCGAAGTAGCGAAATATTTGATTTATTTGGTTAGCCTCCGAAGTAGCGATCAAGACTTCTATTAATTTGGTAAGCCTTGGTAGTGGCGATCAAGTGTTTTATGATAAACCTCGGCAGGTGCGAGCAAGTCTTATATAAATTTGGTAAGCCTCAGCGGGTGCAAGCAAGTAATTTATTAATTTGGTAAGCCTCCGAAGTAGCGAAATATTTGATTTATTTGGTTAGCCTCCGAAGTAGCGATCAAGACTTCTATTAATTTGGTAAGCCTCGGTATTTGCGAGCAAGTCTTTTATTGATTTGGTAAGCCTCAGCAGGTGCGAGCAAGTCTGCTATTTATTTGGTAAGCCTTGGCAGGTGCGATCAAGTCTTTTATTAATTTGGTAAGCCTGGGCAGGTGCGATCAAGTCTCCTATTAATTCAGTAGGCGTCGGCAGTTGCGATCAATCCTTCTATTAATTTGGTAAGCCTCAGTAAGTGCGATCAAGTGTACTATTGATTCGGTAAGCGTCGGCAGTTGCAAGCAAGTCTTCTTTTACTTTGGTAAACCTCGGTAGTCGCGATCAAGTCTTCTATTAATTGAATAAGCCTTGGCAGTTGCGATCAAGTCTTCTATTAATTTGGTAAGCCTCGGCAAGTGCAAGCAAGCCTTCTATTAATTTGGTACCTCGGCAGTAGCGAGCGAAACTTTTATTAATTTGGTAATTAAGCCTCGGCAGTTGCCAGCAAGTCTTCTATTAATAGGGTATAGCCTCCGTAGACTCGAGCAAGTCTTTTATTACTTTGGTAAGCCTCGGTTGTGGCAATCAAGTCTTCTATTAATTTGGTAAGCCTGGGCAGGTTCGAGCGAGTAATTTATTAATTTGGTAAGCCTCCGAAGTAGCGATCTCTTTTATTAATTTGGTAAGCCTCGGAAGTACCGATCAAGTCTTCTATTAATTTGGTAAGCCTCGGTAGTGGCGATCAAGTCTTTGATTAATTCGGTAAGCGTCGGCAGTTGCGAGCAAGTCTTCTATTAATTTGGTAAGCCTCAGCAGGTGCGAGCAAGTCTTTTATTACTTTGGTAAGCCTCGGCAGGTTTGAGCAAATCTTTTATCATTTTGGTGTAAAGCCTTGGTAGTGGCGAGCAAGTCTTTTATCATTTTGGTAAGCCTCGGTAGGTAAGATCAATTCTTCTATCAATTTGGTAAGCCTTGGCAGTTGCCAGCAAGTCTTCTATTAATTTGGTAAGTCCGGCAGACTCGAGCAAGTCTTTTATTACTTAAAAATCTCTAGTATAAACAGCCCACGTGGCAAATCTGACTACTGTGATTTCATCATTTCTAACGTATCCAGAGAAATACAGATCTCTGCCAAGCAGGCGTGTCTGGAGGTACTGTGATAACCAACTCTGATTCCCTGCGTAATTTCCTTGCTGAAGACTCGGCGGTTCTTTTTTGCTATTACGGGAATTGATGAATGCTGGGAAGCATTTCGATACTGCATTCTGCTGGATGTGGATGTATGCATACCTAATGGCCTTGTAAGTTCTGGACGATGCAAACCCTGGCTCAACAAAATATCCTCAAGCCTATCACGGATGGACAGACAAATATCAAAAATGTAAAATCCGTCAAAATCCCTTGAGGATCATACTTGATACAAGTTTGTAATGTTGCTATAACAGCGTGCCAATGGTATATGGCACAGAATCTATCTGACCTAACACAACGAATTTCAGATTCAACAGGCCAGATTCAACAAAACGGTCAGGTGCCCTCATGTAGTCACTGTGCAAAATTTTGAAAACCGCGCCGACACAAATCGAAGTAAGGCATAATTTTTAACTTTTTCATTAAAACGTTTTTCATTAAAAACGTTTGTCCAACTGAACAAACTTTGGCATCCAATATCACCATCAGAGGGCGCTATACTAAATTTGAGGACCAATTTAAAAAAATTGAGTTTTGTCCTTTTTTTCTCAACCCAAATCTGCATCAAAGGACTACACATGGTGAAGAAATATTTTTCATTCGAATGTCACAAAAGAACCCCGAAACAAAGCAAACAGATAGTTCGGCCAAAGGCAGCCACTATGTATTTTCAGCATGCAGTGTTATTGGTCACGTGACCATAAATTGTAGTCTGAAGTTTATACATGATGGGGTCGGGCAAAGAAAACATGAAACGTTTTTACTCATTATTGCATATTTTTACTTCTATTCTACAAAAATGACAAAATTATATTGTTACTGTATATTGTTATTGTGTTTTAGAATCGGTTTCCACTGTAACCATGACAACTCATAGCTGAAGAATTATATCTGGCATTATCTACCTACTAGGTATGTATCACATTTTGTATCCTCCTGCAACAGTCGACAGGATTAAACATTCTTAATCCCTAATTACACATTCAGAATTCCTGAAACTATTTCATATCTGCAGCAAATTCTCAATCCAAGCGAAGAAAGAAGCTTAATCGACGGTCTGAATAATATTTTACGATTCCCTTGAAAAAGGGGAGAGGGAATTTTTGGATACTAAGAACCATCTTTCGTTATATATGCACATGGATGTAGAAACTGTTCATCTCAGGCTGAAAGCAAAGTATACAAATTCAATAAAAAAAAGAGACTGAGTGCACAAATTATTTTTAAATGAATTTCGTTCTCAAATACATGAAATAAACGTTTAGACATTTACAAAACTGAAATGGTAGAGGAATATTAAAAAAAATCCAAAGTCTTGTTACAAACGTAAATCGCATTTTTGATGACGTCAGATGACGTCACACACTGTTCAAAATGTTGTGCCTTACAAACCAAATACATTTTACAAAATAGTTTTGAATTTTGCATTTTGTGTTTGTGAGATATGGCTTAATGATGTTTTTAACTCGATTCGCAGCTCTAATGAAATTCATCATATATTGATGACATTCCTGTCTTACAGGAAGGTGATTAAGAAAAAGGACGACCGGTCAGCGTCTTTTTTTCCCTGGGATGTTTAAAAGAATAACGTCAGTGAACAAAATCATACTGTGTACGTCTCGTGGCTCCATAGTCCTTAAGTTGACGATCCTTGCCATGCACTTCTTCACCAATAATGGTGAACAACGATCTCTGGTATTTGGATTTTGTTCTCAAACCCCTCCTTTTCGTACTCAACGTACCGAACGAATGTAAGTTTGGTCTCGCTCATCCACGCTGCTGAATAGAGTGCACTGACCTCATCGTCATTCATCAAACCTCTCAACGGTTTGATCAACTCGAAACCATGCTCAGGGTGGTCAATGCTCCACAGGTACATCGAGCCTGCACCATAGCTACACTCTTCAGACGCAATGACCTTATTGCCAAGGATACAACGGATTTCAAGCATGCGCTCCTCGTGCGACTTGGTGTCTCCAATGAATCTGCCGTCGAGATTGAACAATCTAATGTTCGAGTAATCCGATGTGGCGAGGAGGAATTCGCCGTTGAACTCAAAGTGCGTTGATTCATCGTGTGAGTCCCAATACTCAAAGTCCACACCAGGTACGTCAAAGTGTCTAATGCATTCCCCCGATTCAACGTTCCATATCTTTATTGCGTTTCCAGAATTGGCACTAATCACGATGCCGTCCCCAAGGTGACAGGAAATCATGTTATTTGCATCACTGAAAATTGTCTGCTTACAGACACCACTCTGTGCGTCCCATAATCGAATCTTACGGTCGCTGTAAGCACCTGCAACTGTCTTGTCAAGATAGTCCACGTAAACCAGTCGGACGTCATCGGAGGTGCTCTCAAAGACGAAACCGTCTATAGATGTACCGTCTATAGCATTCCAGACCCGCATATCACTGTCACCACATACCTCCATATCCCTGTCTGACTTCCCGGCAATACTTACGATAGTGTCACCATCCAAGAAGAGACGAAACACATCCAGACGATGCCCCGACATGACCTGCAGCTGCTCTCCGGTCTGGGCGGAGTAGGTACGAATCTTACCATCAATGCATCCTGCAGCTATGATCCCATTTTTCATTTGCAGTGCTTTTTTTCCTTTACTGATGCCCACTTTGATGAAATGTCGACGTGTACCGTTGGAGATATCCCAGATATGCAGAGTATCATTTGATAGAGCACCGGCAAGACTATTCCCTTCACCAGCTAGGCTGCATACTATCAACTCAGGTTCAGAGCTGCCATGTATGTGATCCTTGTAGCCACCCGAACCAAACTCGAACGACACAACATGATACCGATTGTTCTTCCAATTTCCTTCAAGATGTCGTGCCTTCATGTATATCTCCTTCCATCTACATGTATTTACCAACCCTGGCCAGTTTGAACCAGTGACAACCGAATCAGAGGCAAAGGTGACACTGTCACCAACGCTTCCATCCCCGCCAGGTTGAGGTGACGAAGGTATGAACGGGGGTTCAACACAAAGATCAACGACTGCATCAAACTTCTCCCATCGCTTCTCTCGGCAAAGAGGGCGCCATAGAGCATCGTCATTGGTGGCTTCTCTCCAGGATCGATTACATAATGCCACGTGACACAGGTCCTCAGCTGAAAGATGTTGAAGTATGAGAACCTTCAACTCATAAGGCAGGTTAGAAAAAGGATCTCTTGTCGGAACTGACAACGCCATTTTGCTGTGAAATACAAAGGAAAAAACAATGTTATCTGGTTTAGGCCTACACGACAAACTAGAAAATTACAATTTTAAAGCCAGATAGAATAAAAGTTTTGGGGGGATATGCAAACACATTCTTTGTGCACCCAGTTTTTTTTATTCAACGTACATGACTTATTCATAGTACATGCACATGAATTGAACGGGCCATAGTGCGAATATACGCTCCGTATTTTTCATTCGTTACCCCCAATTTTGTTCACTAAATTTCACAGTTTAAATCTGGCGCGCATAGTATTAAACAGAGGTCCAGGGCTACATAATCGGATTAAAGCTGGAACTGTGTGGCTGTGCGTTCGACCCTAAAATGTGGCCCGGCTCCTCCATTCATAAAATGGATTAAACAAACCTATACATGATAATGTACATATAGGATTTGTGCACATATCAATGCAAAGGTATGTCTAATAGTACAATCTTGTCCGATTTTGTCAAGCTTGACATAAACATCCTTTCACATTTTTGTTTCCTTCAAGAAATCCGACGTACACTTCCATGTACATGCATGGATATCCTCCTTACAAACACAATGGTACTGCCCAATTAACAAATGCACGTTCTTTCCATCACAAATTTCTATAACTTCCTTGAAGTGAACAGTATTCAGATCCAAATTTACATTATTTAGAAATGAAATTAACTCCTATAAAGACCACAGTTATAATCCAAATTTACAAATGGATAGTTTTTAAATGTCTTAATTAAAGTAGAATTGGAGAAAACATGTCCTGTAAACAGGTGATGAGCAGAGTCCAAGATCATGAAACGCGTGATCAGCACTTTAAGCCCTGTCCGCACTGGACTTTTTGGGTAAAACTTACCGAGACTATATACTTTTCCCATTTTAAGTCCAGTGCGGACAGCCTGGGACGTTTTATCCTCTCAGTTACTCTTCCTGAGTCCAGCGGTTATTTTTACCGGCCAACTGCTGCCCAGGAAAACTGACCAGGCGCCCAGGAAAACTGTATGACCAGGTCACTTTTGCCGAGACGATAATCCAGTGCTGACAGTGCGAGTCGGTAAAAGCGGCTTGGGAAAGCATACATCCAGCACAAATGCGAGTATCATCATGGAGGAATGCATACAGAGACCGCACGATCCCACACGTGATGTGGCCGAACATTTTGTGGAAACACGTACGCTACGTGTGTCAAGTCCGAGCGGTAAAATCTCGTTATAAATATATTTTAACGGCCAAAAAACACAGAAAAGATCAACATCACGTTCTGGGAATTACTTTGCAGTTATTCTTTTTCTCCACCGATGTTTGGTTGTTGTTTTATACGATCCAAATTTGTCCTGTTACGCCGTGTAGTCTGCACATGGCACCGTACGTAGGCCGTAGTCACTGGTTCCGGTCCTACATCATAGCTTCAATTCTGTTAGCATGCGGTGGGAACCAGCGATTACCAATGGAACTGCTGCCGCACGGAACATCGTACAGCGGCATGGCTTCGATGTAGTTCATTACAAATGCGTCAGAAATTTAAGCATTTTCGTCCAGATTTATAGTGTCAAGATGAAATAATATCGTATGTAACTATTCTATTGTGCATTTTATTAGCGTGTGATACTGTGCGTCTCGGGGGCTGAAAAAAATGCGATCGGCATTTTATTTCCTCAGTGTGCGCGTGACTGTGACATCTCGGTCACTTCTACCATGGTGTTTTTATTCTTCCATGCTTCTACCACGCAGTCTTGGTAAAATTTCCCGTTTCGAAAGTGCAAGTGCGGACAGTGGTCACATTTGACCATTTTTCATGTTACGGTCGTCTCGTACAGTGCCTTATCGATCGAAAGTTGTCATCGGCCACTTTGTTAATTCTTTGTGGAAAGGACGCCGGGTTTTTTTTTCAACCAATCAAAACAAGTTTTACATGTTAGGAAAGAAGAGTTGCTAAGTTATTCGATTCCGTTTAACCCCGTACAGTTTGATACTCCAGTCAGGAGTAACAGTCAAAAGAGCCGACGCGAGGGCGCTCAATCGGTGCGTTTACACGGGGAAAATGATGAAAACTTCACATTTTCAAAGCCGACATGACGTAGATCATGTTGAAGATAAAAAAAACCATATATCATGAGGAAGAGAAAGAGTTAAATTGTATAGAACCGTTTAACCCCATTGAAAAAGACCGCATGGTTATCAAACTATGACTCGATCGAAACGTACGTCGATCGGGAAAAAAAGACCATTTTACGGGGATTCTCGCCCGAAAACGGGCCCGCACAGCTAGAGGTTTATGCTTTAAGTGAACACAAGAAATTCATATAAATTTAAGTGTCAATAATTGTTCACTACCTTATTGGTATGATTTGTTAAGCTAACATTCTTCGGGCCCTAAACGAGAAAAATAAGGATTTTTCTATGCCTTAAAGTATCGCTGACTCCTTGACACTACCTTGATACGCCCATATATTTTGTATGATCATTCGCAAAGGCACGTACACTGCCTGTATACACGAAGGACGTGCATTGTCGTTATGCACTGTATGTGGGGCTATACACATGTAAATGTCAACAAAGTCTGACTGCAGTGCAATAGACTTATGCGTTGCAGGTTGTTCTTTGTTATTATTGTTCGGTCTTTGTTATCCAGGCTATGCTATTACCATTGCCCTCTAGCCTAAAGTTATACGCAAAATAATGTATGTCTACGTACATGTACATCTACAGATACATGTCAATGTGCATCTAGTACAACAGGCAAAGTTCCCGTCATCCCATATTGTATGCCACTTACCGTCACACCTTGCATACAGTTATTCCTTGAGTACAGACTTCCACCTGTAAAACAGCCAACGCTATGCTGCAATACAGGTTCAAGGCAATGTGGCGTTGTTTGAAGGTCAGATTCTACTATACGGAGGCCTCTGCAGAACGTTTTCGTATAATATGGTTACGGCTGTGTATTATCATGGAGGAATGCATGGTTATATAATGTTTAGAACATTCCACAGAGAAAATAAGTAAGTTGTTATCGATCGGGCATGTACGAAATTTGCTAATGGCAATGGGACAGTTGAGACTGCAAGGGTACTACACCTTGCGGTAGAGCGATGTACCAATGTGATTCAAAACATTCTTAACCTGCATGACGTTGCTTTGCAAACATATTAAATATTAACATAAATTTACAAAATTGCACGCGGTTTCCCTCCGAATTAAATAGGTTATAAACCCTAACCTTAACTCTATAATCATGCCTATATGGGGCGTCAGACCAATGGGACGTCGGACTAGAATAAGGGATGGACAATGTGGCCGGGCCTACAAGGAATGGGTTGGGTGTAGTATCGAATGCTTGGAATCAATGGGAGACACGCACGGTTCGGCAGCGGGTGACTGTTAAGTGTGTTGAACAACTGAATAGAGGACAATCTGTAACATGTCATCAGGTACATATGTATAGTGTACATATAATACAATATTAGAACCCTTTCCACATTACTTGTTAAAAGTCCAAAATGCGATTAAAGTTGTACAAGGGTGTATTTGGGGCATATTTAAACATGTGTGTTTATATAGAAGCATTAAAAATTAATGAGAAACTATGGGTTTTGTCACATGCAATACTTAAACCTAGGTCAGCGCATTTCTTCTTTCTTGTTTTTAAGACAACTGTTCGAAACAAACCTATTAATAACATATTGAGGGAAATTGTTTTCTTCTCAATGTAGATCAACTATTTTAAATTTAGCACTGAAATCAACTTAATGAGTATAAACAAGCAATTTAACGAAAGAAAAACACTGTTTTCGAGAAAATTGTGAACTGAACTGCTACGTTTGCATAAATTTAACATTTTTGAAAATAAAATGAAACCAATAAAGCCAAAATGTATAGGTAGTAGGTGACAATACAGTTTGACTATAACTTGACCAAAGAAAAAAAGTTTTGTCTTGATTCATGACACAAAGTCACTCAGGTGTGGGGGTGACTGACGATTGCAGGATTGCGACGTTGGGGCTGGTTTGGCTGGTTTTAATAGCTGGGATGGTGTATCTTGGAAAGGGGTGACGATGTCGCTTTCATCATCACTGTCAGGGTGTATGGGGGACCCCCGTGCACCCCCCCCCCCCAAACTAACATACACCATTTTTTGTTTAGATGTTAACAGTAAAAAAAAATCCGATGCCAAGGAAATATCCAAGATGGCGGCTGGAGTTAAGACCAGCCAAAAAGTGAGGGGGCGGGTTCCGCCCCCGGCCCTTTTAGGATTAAGTAAAGAATCAGTTGAGGGCAAATGTGACTACAGTGTGATGCTAATAGACATGTCTCTCTTCACTTTCTAGTGAGTGAGGCATGATCCAACAACCATTGTTCGTCTTCTTATTTCTCGTTTTTATTGAGCGATGGTCTGTTGAAACAAGCACTTTATAGCCATCCTCATTGATTCCAAATACAACTGAGATTTAAATCTTACGAATCAAGACTGAAACATTATTTTTACTCTCAGATTTTCTGTTTTGAATGTGGGGAACAATTCAACTCTTTTTTCCCCAGAAGTATTGGTGAGTTTTTTTCTATTTTCCTTTTCAATTTTTTCCTTATTCGTGGAGGCGGGAAAACTTTTTTTTCTCTTCATTAATTTTGTTAATGGTATTTATCAATTCGTAGACCGTTAAATTGGTTTAGTGGTGGACAGCTGAATTTTGTGATCTCTTTATTAAAATAGACACGACTTGGGAATAGAGTATGCAAATTACGGGAAATGTTCACAGTTACTACTCAATAACTTTCTTTATCCCTATTATATTTTTTTTACAAAATGGAGCGTGCCGTTTCTTGTTTTTATCATTCGGTCACTTTCTTTTTGACTCGCCATGTATTCACCTTTTCATCTGTGATAAACACAAATTGAGCTACTGCCATAGTCACACAAAAATAGAGTCTAATTGCCTGCCTCGTCTCCTTCCTAAATGTCAATTGCGTTTGCATGAGTCGAGAAGACTTTTGTTCCATTAATCGCTATATGCTGTTTACGGCCATCACAATAAACGATTAAAATATTGGCAATATGTCGTACTTGTAGATCACTAAAATATTCAAGTAAATCACCCGGCAAAGTAGCCGATGCGGGCGATACAAAACACAGCCGATGCTGGCACGGTACAAAACACAGAGAGGCGTGCGCACTGAGCCATGAATCCTAAAAGTGCATCTCACCCACCACATTCAGTTTGTGACAGCGCCCTTCTATTGTGTCGGCCATATTCTCAAATAGGCTAATGACGATGATGACGGCGGGCAGATTAACAGAAGATAGATCAGGCAAATATGGTTCATCGATCTTCTATAGTATATGTAATGGTATTGACCTTAAACAAAAATAAAGTGGCATTACATTTCAGCCTTTGCCTGGCCTTCTTTAGAGGTAAAGACAGAGGAACAAGAAACAAACATGTAGGGGACACACAAACATGCAGGGTTGGAAGGAGAATCACAAAGAGGGAAGGGGGGGGGGAGGAGACCAATCCATATCTGGCTACCATCTCTCAATTTTTGGTCTACATGTACAAATCTATATTCCATGACTGAAATTTTAAAAAATAAATCAATATTTTCTTGCTCCCATTTTTTTTGGAATCAGGTTTACAAGGAGGTCCAGTGTAAAATTAAAGTTGCATTGAAATATCCGTTAGTAGTCATTGCTGAAACCAAGGGGTGGTTGTGGAGTTTAGGGTCCGAGTTCCTATTACAGATGAAACATCCTTCTTTAACTTTTTATTTTTGTCAAGTTTCAACATTGCAAAAAACTAGTACAAATTGTCGTACTCAATCACTTCCTTCACATCCCCATCAATTCATCGATTATGTTGCACGTGTGTGTCCTCGATTTACACCATAAACACGCGCAGACACACCTAGGAATACGCTTTCGCAATATCCCCCTCCGGCTTACAGCCAGAGGGATCAAACAAACCGTTAATGTTCAGTTGAAAACATTGTTTGTGTCTGAGTAGGAATATAATGGATAAACAAGAGTTATATCCAAATAACGTTGACACTTCTGAGTCAATGTGTAGGCTAACTTTGCAAAAACAGCTAGCGGTGCAAATGCTAATTTAAGGCGCTGGTTTAGGCTGGGTTTCCGAAAATATCCTCAATTACACGATTCAGGGCCAAATTATGCAACATGAATGAATTGGTTTTGAAAACACAATGAGTGAAAACGGTGCTGCTTCTTATACCCCTTCTGTTGTTTATTTCTTAACAGGAATACACCTTTTCATGGGCTCTCTGTATAACTGGATTAAATACAGGCAATTAGCCTGGGGGTTTGGTGGGTATCAAATGAGGAGAATAATGCTCATTGTGATTTTTTTGCAAGGTTTGTAGTTAGAAAATAGCATTGTAGCGGTGGCAGCTTTTTTAATTTTGTGTGCTATATTTTTTTTTAAACGGGGAAACATGCTTGTTATCATATATAATAACTCGGTGACGCGCATATTAGTATAGTTTATGTAATAAACAGTGGCAAAAGCCACGGTCTATACTTGGAACAGATTTGCTGATTAATAACGCAAGATCTTGAACTCTAGATTTTGACCAATTAGCAGACGCATGTTAATGTCGGGCCTTCGGTTATTCACCTTTTTCGCGTCTAGACATACTAGACTACAATTCCTAATGAAAAAAAACCCGCTAAACACAGCAAAAAAGCGTTGGTCACGCGCTATTGTGTTACGCAACATGTATGCGCGCGGCTGTTGTAACACTTGATTAGAATTGACTAATCACAGTTTTAGTCCTGATTTGGGAATGAATGACATCGGGATTCAGTAAAGTCGACTCCTATTAGCTGAGGCGCGAGATGGCATAAATTTGCATGTTTTACATTATATCAGGGGCCAATTTCATAGAGTTGCTTAAGCATAAAATTTGCTTAAGCACAAAAAACCTTTGCTTAATAATTATAATCAGGTTACCCACCAAAACTCCATGCGATTATTATGTTAAGTAAACAACAGCCAAATACCAGTCACAAGCACTGTACATCGCATGGAGTTTTGGCCAGTAACCTGATTATATTAAGCAAAGGTTTTTTGTGCTTAAGCAAATTTTATGCTTAAGCAGCTCTATGAAATTGGCCCCAGATGTTAGGCCTATACAGGAGACTTGGCTCCGCGGATAACGGGTGATAACGGGTGATATCAGACTAGCATATTGACGGCCATTTTGAAAAAAAAAACATTTTGAAAGTGATAGCACCCAAAAAACTGACACCGCTCACACTGCAAAGCTATCACATACTTTCCAACTCTAGATGGGCATACCTTACGAAAAATTGCTATGAGCGTTGCTCATTTTGAACATCTGATACCGGTGGCCCAATGTTTGGACCGAAGCTGATAGCCTATAAATAGTTTGGGAGCTAGGTGGAGTTCAAACTGACAATATCATTATGCGACCACGCCATCGACCTTCTTGCTAATAAATTCATAATTTTGCACGCATTCCCATCAATGAAGAAGCAAAAGTGGTCCATTAAAATGTACAGGGGTCCAAATATTCGGGTCATTTTCTCTCAATTTTTCTCCAGGATTAATCGCTCTTTAATTAAAAAAAAGGCCTTAAAATCATCGTTGGCATTACTTGCCGGCCTAAGTGGGCTTTTTGGTACAGAATAAAAACTTTGGTGGACGGGTACCTCGAATCACACGGTATTTTTTTCCACTCGTGCGGAAAGTAGCTCTGCTGATTTTCTTCGCTCTCGTGAACCCAGGACGAAAGCAATTTTTAACATTTCAATGCGACGACATTTTGTCCGAACTGTTGCCCAAATTGTGTCTTAATGTTTCTTGATGTTCTTTGTTGAAAATCAGTAAGCATCACACATGCCTTCTCCGTAAACCCTTCTTCCCCATAGTCCGACAGTCACCTGAACAGCGACGGAGCATACCGTGAGAAACGTCAACGAGTT